CCTGTCCCTCAGTTTCCCCCCCCCCCCCCCTTTATCTCCATCCCAGCAGCTCCACCCATTGCTTGGGAATATACACTGGGTAGGATCCCTCTCACTTACCTGACTAGACAGCATCATGCTGTGTGCCCTGAGGCAGGATCAGGCCTCTCTCACCCTGATCAGAAGCAGCACCAAGGAGGGAACCCAGCCCCCTTACTGCCTTAAAATAAGGAGCAACAGACAAGCTGAGAAGCCCCAACCAGAGGAAAGCTCCCTGCAAACCCTCCTGCTTTATACCCCCCACCCTGCCCCAGCTGGAGCTTTTCATCCATCCCTCCATCCATGGCAACACCAAATCACCCCCAGCAGCTCCTCAGCTGGGAGGGACCACGGGGTGACTTTTGGGTGCAGATGCTGCAAGGGGCCAAACGCTCCCCCAGCTCCTCTGAGCCCAGAGCAGCATTTTGGGAAGAAAGAGAAGAGCAAACCTCACTGTTGGACCTTGCTGGGATGGGCAGAGGGTCCTTTGGGACCTGACTCGTGCCAGATCTTGCTGCCGTGGGCGCTGGGCAGGTGCAGGCAGCCCCAGTCCCAGCAAAGCACCCTGCCTGCCAAACTGGGAGGAATGTGGGCACGAGATTCCCCACCTCCACCCCGGGCTGCCTCCGAGCTCTCCTTGGATGCCTTCCCAATTCACCAGCCAAATTGCTTTGTAAAAATTCACCCCCACCAAAGCCCCACCCCTGCCGAGGCCGGTGGGGAACCGGAGGAGATGGTCCCTGAATTAGCCCAAATGGCCACTTGCTCTTTTTTTTATTAGCCTTTTCCTTCTCCCCTCACTTGCCAGCCCCCCCTGACTGCTGCCTGATGATTTATTTATCCCCCTTGCCAGCCTCCATCGCTGCGGGCGGGCAGGAGGGGGGGATGTGTGTCTGTGTGTGTGTGTGTGGGGGGGTCCTGTTTGAATCTCAGCTGTAATTGCTCAGCTCAGATACCTTGCTGCCACTGAAAATGTGCCCACTCAGCCGTATGCCTTTCCTGGCCACTTCCCTGCTCTAATGGTGCCTATCAATAATTCAGAATAATGCAAAGGATGAGCCCAGGTTAATGGGAGCTGCACACGCCGGAGGCTGGCTCGCTGCTGCTCGGGCTCTGCTCGCTTGGTGGGGCAAGCAGGAGGGCAGGGGCTACTTGCCCACGCTGGGGCAGAGCCCAGCTGGTGGCTCCTGGCTGGCAGCAGCAGAGAGGATTCACCCCTGAGGTCCTGCAGTTGCACAAAGGGTGCAGGATGAGCCCCGAGAGAGGAGCAGGGCACGGGCAGCAGGGCTGGGGACGTGTGGAGGGGTGGAAGTGTCACAGCTGAGCACCTCCACCCCTCTAACCCTGCCCAGCACCACTGTCTCAGGGCAATTCCTCTCCCTCTGTTGTGGAAACAGCCAAAAATTCAGCTCTGCCCTGAGCCTGGCCGTGGTTCAGTCTCTCCTTGGCCACCCAGGGGGGCTGGAGGGTGGGAATTTGTCCCCCACGGTCATCCTGGGGAGACAGGCAGGTCACTGGGGATCAGCACGTGGCTGGGTTGCCCTCGGGAGGAGCAGGGCTAGTGGAGGGCTTGCAGCTGAGCTCCCCAATGCCTTCCCCACCAAGGATGCTGGATGGGCCCCTGGCATTTTGGATGAGGGGAGACGGGGTGTGGTGGCAGCACGGGATGTGGGGGCATCGGTGGGAGGCAGGCGAGGCAGGGACAGCAGCTGTGCCCTCCAGGATGGCACCTCACCCGTCTTCCTGGGCTAAAAATACCTTCAAACACCTTTGGGAGTGGGAAGGGAGGGGACACAGGGGTGACTTGCTGGGCTGTGGGAGGAGGATTGATTTTCCTGGCAGAGTCAGCCCTGCAGGATGAAACCAGAGAGCCAGAAGCTCTGGGGTCAGAGGAGAGGCAGGATTAGTGCTGAAACCTCCTGTTCACATCACACCCGTGGTCACGACTCACGCCAGGGACACATGGCTGAGGAGGGGGGCTCAGGGTGGTGATCCCCCCAAGTCAGGATGCCCAGGAGAAAGCATTTGGGATGCTGGGGAGCAGTGGGGGGCTGTAGGATGCCTCTGGGGAGCATCCAGAGGTCAAAAGTGGGGCTGGTGCTTCAGCCAGGGATGTTTGCCCAGGGATGCGGGCACCGAGTGCTGGGGTGGGCACGTTGAGGGCAGCACCCAGCCCTGCCCAGGCTGCAGGAGCTCAAAGGTTGGATCCCCACTGAGCTGGGGATGGCTGCCAGGAGGATGGGGCTGTGACCGGGCTGCAGAACCTGCAGGCTGGGGGATGCCCAGGGCTGTGAGGGGGGACACAGGCTCCTTCCTCTGGCCTGGAGAAGGGAGAAAACGATGAAAGGGAAGAAGATCCCTGCCAACAACCCCCACACAAGCCCATCCCTTCAACCTGACACCATCTCCTAGAACCCTTTGGGTTGAGAGAGACCTTGAAGATCGAGGCGAGCGGCAGCGGCGGCGCCACGCCGGTCGAGGGGAACCCCCTTCCCCCAGCTCACCCCTGGCTCTGTCCCCCTCCAGGTGTCACCTACTCGGACACGGTGAGCGCCACGGAGCCCTGCAAGCCCTGCACGGAGTGCGTGGGGCTGCAGAGCATGTCTGCTCCCTGCGTGGAGTCGGACGACGCCGTGTGCCGCTGCGCCTACGGCTACTACCAGGAGGAGCCCAGCGGGAGCTGCCGGGAGTGCCGGGTGTGCGAGGTGGGTTTCGGCCTCATGTTCCCCTGCCAGGACTCTCAGGATACCGTCTGTGAAGAGTGTCCCGAGGGCACTTTCTCCAGCGAAGCCAACTTCGTGGATCCCTGCCTGCCCTGCACCACCTGCGAGGAGGATGAGGTGCTGGTGAAGGAGTGCACGGCCACCTCGGATGCGGAGTGCAGAGGTAACGCTGCCTTACCCCGGGTAGATGGGTGTGGAGAGGAGGGGTGGGTTCTCCAGGGCTCCTGCAGCACTCCCTGCCTCGGTTTCCCTTTGTGCTGTGTGAATGGAGAGTGTCTCTGGGCTCAGAGGAGAGCAGAGGACCCCGTGTCCTGCTGAGACCCCCGACCCTTGGGTGCTGCAGCAAGCGTGGGGGTTCCTATTGAGGCAGCACTTGCACCAAGCCCTCATCTCCCTTGCAAATGCCCACCCCACGGCCTACCCAGCCCTTCCCAGGGGCTTCCTCAGCTTCCTCACCAGTCT